GAAATGACACACCCACCAGTGCCATCACAGTTGATGGCTGTCATGACAACAACCAGAAACGCCCCTACGAGGACTGACTGGCTCCATCACATAGGAAGGAGGGCAAGATGGCAGAGGCACCTCATAAAAGTCCACGTGGCCCAACCCAGGCCGGAGCTGTCCCTATCGCCCATCTTGGCTGATGGCTCCCCACTCAGACACCTTTTCCTCGCTTGAGCACCTTCCTTCCTTTTCCCCTTCTGAGCAATAAAGCAGCTGTTCACTTATGTCTCTGCCCCTGCTGTGCAAATTCTTTCACAGTGAGCAAAAAGAACCCACATTTTGGTGGGCTTCCTAACTTAGAGGTCCCTCCGTCCACTAACATAACTGTGGAAATAGAGTACGACCTGAATGATGAAAAAATATTATCCAAAAACAATTGGAAGGAAATGCACAAAAATGTCAACATATTTTTCTTTGGCGGTGGACATACAGGTGATTTTTAATGTACTTTTATATTCTCTTCGGCACGAGTACATTGTATACAATGAGCACAATTTTACTGGTATAATCTGAAACGTCCCTTTTCAAAAAGCCCTTTTGCCTTCATCTGTGGGTTGGCCTCCCACTGCGAGGTGGCGATACCCAGACAGGTGAAATAACATTCCGAAGGTTAATAACCTAGTGACTGTTAGAGCTCGAGTTTGAACCCAGAAACCACCACTCTTCAGAAACGGCTTCTTCCTGCTCACAAATGAGTATCAAAAGGCCATCTTTCACATTCAGAATCAGTGTAAAGATGCAATCCCGCAAGGCTCAGCTTCGGATATGCACGCAGCCTCACTTCAAAGGCAGCAGGCAACTGGCATTTGCAGCCTCAGGCCACACATGCTGTCTAGATGGTTCTCAGGCATTATGCAAATCACCCACAGGAGCAATTAAGTAGTTCAAAATATACACTCTCCATCACCAGGAAGAACACAAAGACAGGCAAAACTATTCCATGGGTAGAACTCAGGATAGCGGTGATCCTCCATGGGGCGAGGCGGGGTGATAACGGGGAGGGGACTGAAAGGGGCTGCCAGGGGCCAGGTAACATCCTTGTTCTGATCTGGGTGCAGACTGTATGTGTGTGCGTGTAAAAATCTGTGCAATTTTCTGCATGTCCTTTATACCTCAATATCATTTACATAAAAATAACTGGGCGCAGGGGACAGTGACAACCTTGATGTCATACACTCCTACCTCGTGTGTTTCTGTTAAAGATCAGTCACTGTATGTTGCCTCTTCCTTCCGTCTCTCTGTATCTCC